TTTTTCAATGGTAATATGGGGATCATGGAGTGAAAGGAGGATAATATTTCCCATTTGTATTTGTTGTCATAATTAAATATAATAAGAGTAGTTTCCCTTAATTGGCTCCTCTTCTTATCACCTCTTGAGTCTGACCTTGGACCTTACTCTTTATAATCTCAGCACACCCTCCCTGGTAGTCTCACCAAGTCCCTTAATTTTACCAAGTACTTCTTACAGGTGACTCTCAACACGCCAAAAGAGAATTGTTCATTTTCCCCTTTCCAAATCCATTTTCTCCACCTGCTAAATCATCTAGCTTCAAAATCTCTGTGGGCCTTGAATTCATCTTCTCCACTGGCCCCTCACATTCACTAAGTGGTTAAATTCTGACTATCCCCAGACAGGACCAGGAAAAGAATGCTAAGGGGATGATATGGGGTGGCCAGTATAAACTATTAGGGCTGAGAAGTTTACAAGGTTGCCTGGGGAAATCCTTTGTAAAGATTTTTGCTAGTCCACCCCACCTGGGCAGTGCCACCCGCCCCCCCCCAATTTTTCTGCCTGAACCTGTCCTCCTCAATCTCTCTTACCTATCCAGTCACTTCCTTTCTACTGTCCTAATTTAGGTCCTCACATCCTCTTAGAAGATGTTAGCATAGCCTCTTACTTGGAAGGAGAAACTAGATAGGGAAGCTATCTACCTTGCAGAGCCTCTGACTGGGTGGGCCTCGTGATCCTTTGATCCCTTGGGATGGCCAGAGGCCACAGGCCAATTGTCTCCAGCTCTAAAAGATCCCATCCAATTTACTCCAATGTAAGGTAAAAATATTATCATTTTCTATGTGTGCTATGATGTGAAAAATTTCGGGAAGCATTGTTACAAAATTAATCTTCTTAAGTACAGATCTGATTGTATTAAATAATCCTCCAAAAGCCTTCACATATAACTCCTCGCTTCTATCAAGTAAAGTCTAAACTTCTTGGCAGGCACTGAAGGCACTGTACGATCTCACACCAACCTACCTGTCCAGGTGCCCCCTCACTAATGCCTTCCACTCCAGCCAAACTAAACCATTCCCCATTCTCTTCTCATCATAATTACAACCTTCTCTTCACCTAGGATATTTCCCATCTCTTCCAGGTGAAATTCACTTACCCTACTCATCCTTCAAGATCCAGTGCCCATAGCAGGTGCTTCTCAAACACAGCATTCCCATTTTTCTATAGCAAGAACTGATTCTCATTAGTGTGAACTCACACAGCATCTATTTCAGCTCTGTTAAGGCACTCATCTTACTCTCTCTTCTGTGATAAAGATGAATACAATTTATAACCTCTACTACTGGTATTTCTTGAATAAAGGATCACTTGTTTTTACCCCCACTCCAGTACCTAACACACTATGTTGCATACTACAAGCACTAAATTATTAAACAATTTTGAAGTTTATAATGCATATTAGTATGATTCCTGGTAGTTCAACATCAGCCAATTTCAAGAAATAAAATCTTGTCATGATAGTACCTATAATAAAAAGCTAGAAAACAACCACCAGACGTTTTAAAGCAGTCCCCCAGAACGCAAATAGAATAACCAAACATTTACATTAGGATGAGTAGCAGTGATTTGCAATTGAGAAGGGTCTAAATAGTGAATATTCTTCATATTGCAGATTCAAGAGAATCCCTAAACCCTGAATCCTGCCCTGTATGTTATACAAAATATACAAATAGAAAGACTGTTTCCCTGACAAGTAAACAGATCCTGACTCAAGTCTTCCTTAACTCCCAGCTCCATGGTGTTGCTGCCTGCACCTGCTACACACAGAGTGAAAAGCTTCATAAGCCCCCAGAACTTTTCAGGAAGGAGACACAGAATTGGAAGCCTAAGGTGCTACGTAGGAAGAGGAGGAAGGGGAGGAGCAAGGGGCAAATCCCCTACCTGGGATCCAGTGAACTACCACAGAAAGGAACCCCACTGCAATGGTAGAAAGGTTGCTGACAAAATGGAGAAAGGTCTGAGAAAACATTCTGGTACTGAATTTAGTAGCAGCAGATCCTGTGATTTCCAAAACCTCACACTTCCTGGGCTGTCCTTGGCTCACTGACAGAATAGGAGGGAATGGGGGAGGGAGTCAGGGAAGGCAGACAAGGGGCAGGGCTTCCAGACACCTGCAATCTCTTAGTCTCATTTTCAGGAGACATATCCTAACTACCTAACCTATCATAAATAGCTGTTTCAAATTCTGAAATTAGACCACTAATAGAGGTCTCCTTTCCTAAACTTTCTTCTTTCAAACCTCTTCTCACAGTACAATTAAACCCCTTGATCCATCGGCTCAGTTTCATTATGCCACTTCTCTCAAAGATCCACATCTCTTTCCTTAGAGAATATAGTCCAACGTAGTCTAGCAACAAAGGACTCTACCTTTTTGGCCACACCTACCTTTCCATCTTTTGTCTCTCTGCTTTCTAATATTTCATCCCTCCTTTTCTTTTCCATTTATTTAATTTACAAAACATTTTCTGACAAGCTAGTATGAATAAGGCTCTGTGAAGGTATGCTCTTAAAAAACATATAACCCTGTATATTTTTATTAAACAAACACTCTTGAACACCAATATATCAAATACTGTGCTACAAATTAGGAATATAAGGAAACAAGATTCAGTCCCTGCTCTCTGGTAGTTTAGATGATGCACTATTCCCTTGTGAATTCCCAGCTCCAGAGAATGTCTATCCAACATACCACATGATTTTGTTCTTTGGTGCCATTTTAGCAAGTCTTCCCCTGCCTGAAATATCCACTTCTTTCCTTTCCAAAACTCGTTTCACTACTTTTCTGACCCCTTTGCCAACATCCACTAAGGAGTTAACTAGCACTGCACAGAGATACTTTTAACATTTACCTATCCTGGCTTCCTAGCAAAGACATGTAAGTATATTTCAAGAAAGGAGTGGTTACAACTGTCAAAAGGGAGAATAGAGTATCTTATTCTGTATTCCCCTCAATGCCTAGCAGAGTATGATGTACAAAAATATTCAATATCTATTTTTATTGGTAACTAGTGAGAAATAATTTATAAACTGTGACATTTTATTGAAATGAGTGATATTAGAAGTGCAAACTAAAGGGTAATAACGTATCTGCAGTTGTTAATCATCCAAAGATAATTATTTTTGTTTATATGGATGGTACAAAAAACACCAAAACGTGATAAAAATCAGTCTTAATTAGGCTTTCAGGAACTTTTATCATAGGAGGTAGCTTTTCTGACCAGTGAACACATAGTAACTAAAAATCAGTTCCCCTAGTCTTAATCACACCAAAGGAAATGATCAAACCAATTTTCTGAACCATCATAAAAAAGAACATGTTGAACAATGGTGATACCATCAAGATATAACAAGCATATTATGAAATGCCCTCTGAAACAATGTTAGCCTTATCTTTCTCATTAATAATAAATGCTTATAAAAGAGTAACTCGGGAACATTAAATTATGATGTGCCAATAGATGTCTTTGTATTTAGAACATTATAAAATTCTGTAAGTTAACAGAATAACTCAAAACCTATGTGACATGTCATAGCAACTCAAATATAATCTTCTGGTTACATTTAGTATTTTCAAATTCCATTACTGGAATGCCTGGGGGGACTCAGTCAGTTAAGTGCCTGCCTTCGACTCAGGTCATGATCCCAGGGTCCTGGGATGGAGCACCCTATCAGGCTCCCTGCTCATGGAGAGTCTGCTTCTCCCACTCCTCTCCACTCATGCTCTCTCTTGTTACCTCTCTCTCTCAAATAAAGGAATAAAATATTTTTTTAAAAAATAAAATTCTATTACTTTTTTTTTTTAAGATTTTATTTATTTATTCATGAGACACACACAGAGCGAGAGACAGGCAGAGACACAGGCAGAGGGAGTAGCAGGCTCCATGCAGGGAGCCCGACGTGGGACTCGATCCAGGGTCTCCAGTATCACACCCTGGGCCAAAGGCAGCGCTAAACCACTGAGCCACCCAGGCTGCCCCTAAAATTCCATTACTGGCTGGTCCGAAGGTAGTGAGTTATCTCAATTGAAAAAATAAAATAAAATAAAATAAATAAATAAAATTCCATCACTAATAGCTCATTGACCTTCAACCTATCCTGTGCCATTAGCATATCCCTCTATAAACCTAATTAATTTTTTTTTCACTTAACCAATATTTTTAGTTAATATTTTATTTTACTGTTTTCAATCCTTTCTTGCATGAGTACTTATATAAATGTGGTATATATGCCTTCAAATAGTAATGTGATTGCTATTTTAGTTGTCAGATGAGTTTTAACATTTAGAAGGCAGCAAGGCAAATATCCTGCACACCAGAGGAATATCAAATTCCCTGTGGTGCTATTTGTAAATATGTCCAAATTTGTGATTGCTTATATGGCAAAATATACATAAAATAGATTGAATTACTTATATGATTGACAAATGTGTGCTGATTTTTAAAATTCTGTTTAATATAGTTATCACATATAATAGTTAACATATAATTATAAAACATATTAAAAGTCTTTGATAAAATCATACACAACCTTCCAACCTTTTTTTTAGCTAGATGAGTTTTAGATCCTCTAATTGAAATTCAATTTATGAATTATCATAGGTTTTAAATGACTCACCAAGGTTACTTTGTTGTTTAGGCAATCTTATACCACACAGTTGCTAAGGTTTCTAAACATAATTTATTAACTGCACCATTGTATGGTTGATATGTAAAAAAGCCAACTCATGTAAGGTTCTGGTTAGTAATTTCTGGTTTTTATTTTATCACTTTTATCACAAAAAAAATAATTTTAAGCCAAGAATTTTTATTAGTCATATATAATAATAGTTAAAATAATCAAACGATAACATTAAACGCAATAGTTGAGTCATATTTTATTACATATTGTGAAACTGGACAAATTATCTTGAGGTTTTAGTTTTTTTTAATAATACTGACCATGAAAACCATTTAAAACTATCTCCAATAAAAAACTATCTCCATAGCTATCTATCTGCTATTTAGACAGAGTATTCTAAAAGAAAAAGTGCATTATTGTTAAACATTATCAAATTAACTCACTGAGTTCTCTTTTAGAATTTTAAGAAAGGCTAGGAGGTTTAAAAAAAATCTACAGAGAACTTAAATAATTTATACTTCTATGAAATATGCCAAATATCCAACCCTCAAAAAAAAAGCTACATACTTCATATTAATGTCCAGTTTAAAGGCCCTTTTAAATCTAGAAAAGAAATGCAAGGAATTTCCCCTTCTACATTTAAGGTACACATTTTCTTTAGTAACTAGAGAGCTTTCAGAGCATAAATGTCATTCTTTTAGTACAATAATGGGCTTAAATTCTCAGCTTATGTTAAGTACACAATTTTATCTGTGCAATGTGTTTGCAATCACTGTAAACCTCTGTCTCAGGAGCTCTCTTTTTTGTATTAGAAAGTTTTCAATAGTATTGGCTTCTTTGAAGAGTCCATCTATCTCGTCAATATAAGATGCATCTACTGCTGCTCTCTCACTAATGAGGAAAAAAAAGTTTTACGTTAAACTAAATAGTTATAATGTCTAGTGACACTATCACAGTGATGTTATTTGTTAGCAACTTCATTTAAATAGCTTTGCATATCAAAAAGCTTCAATAACTTACAAACACTCTTCAGTGAAAGTTAAATTAGTCATGTAAACATTTTGGACTATTCAAAGTCTCCTGACACTGCAGACTATATATCTTACAATACATTATAATTCCCATATTAAACTATACACATTATTTTAACAGCCACACAAACCATCTTCCAAATACAATGATTGTCCAGTAGTTAAAAAAAAAAAAAACACCTTAAAAAACAAAACAACAACAAACATCTTACAAACATGATAATCTCAGGCAAATAAAATATTTAAATTCAGTCTTCAAATATATGACATAATATTTTAATATCTCATAAATATATTTATCTTTAATAGCACTCTTATCATTAACTTCAACAAATGGCATCTTTCTCAAAGAAATTTTTTTCATAAAATGTTAAATGTTATATCATCTAATCAGAGATCAAAATACAACCAACCTAGTACTTAGCTTTGGTAGTAACAAAACACAGGATTTTAGTGGAAAAGTTCATGTTAGTCTTTGAAAATAACCAACTAATTAATTATTTAAAAACTCTGAAATTACAATTACTGGACAGATTTGCAGCCACTGAACTAACTTCCCATTATGGTTTCGAGAAAAAAATCATTTCTAAGAGAAAGACTCAAGAGGATATACTATAAGTACTTGCCTTAAGATCTTTGCATATGTAGACAACATTAGATTAATTTCCTTGCTCATATCTGTTCAAAAAAAAAGTCACTGAGTAAGTTATGAACTATAACAAACTTTCTGTATTAGAAAATCATTGTTTAGAAATATATGCATTTTATATATCACCATTCAAATCTTTCTCCAGGGATTCATCTTTATAAAACAGTCCAGAGCTTTCAGAGAAAGAGGAATCTGATTTTCCAAGAGAAGACAGTTGTGGACTATCTGGCATTTGAGGCTAATAAAAAAAAGTAAAGAAAATAGTCAACAGGATTCTTAGAACATATGCATGCTGTCCCCAAAAAAGGCAAATAAAATATCTTTCAGGGAAAGAGCAAACATACTAGAAATTATATGCACTCATGTCCCACTTAGTCATTTTATTATCGAGAAAATTTTTAGGCCTAACAAGCACCTTATTCAACATGCTAAATTTTACTTTGGCTTTACGTTAGGCTTTGATTATGGTATGAATCCCTTGATGGAAAAGTTTCCTGTATCCTGAAAGGGTAGATGTTTCCACAGCAATAATGTAAAACTTTCATTTAGACAACAGACAAATGTCTGGAAAACTCTGCAAGATATTTTTTTTTTAATTTTTATTTATTTATGATAGTCACACACACACACACACACAGAGAGAGAGAGAGAGAGAGAGAGGCAGAGACACAGGCAGAGGGAGAAGCAGGCTCCATGCACCGGGAGCCTGACGTGGGATTCGATCCCGGGTCTCCAGGATCGCGCCCTGGGCCAAAGGCAGGCGCCAAACCGCTGCGCCACCCGGGGATCCCCTCTGCAAGATCTTTAAGGAAGCAAATAATATCCTAAATGCAAACAGATCTATTGGTGGGAGCAGTAGTGAAGAAGGGCAGAACACAGTGCTCTTAATTGAAAATATCAGCAACTATAGTACCTAGGTCTCCTACTTACTAGAGCAAAACAATTACTTAAAATCTTCGGTATCATACATGCATGAAACCATTTGTTTCTACACCACTAATTACAACAAAGAAATCTCCCAATAGTTTCTTGAAGACCTCCATTAATTTAGTGAAAAAGCAGCTGGAGTCAACATAGTTCCTGCTGGGACAAGCCCAATTCCGGGAATATGAAAACATTAAATTCCATTCATCAACAGAACTTTGTTAAATAGAAAAAAATTTTGAGAAGTATAAAAAAAAAAACAAAAACAAAGGTTAAGGCTCCAGGAGCATATGGATTACCTCCAGCTCTCTTGGTCTCTTGCAATTCCTAGTATCAGGTTTTACGATGTGACTTGCCATCATATTCTGGAGGCAAGAGCTGCAAAGTTTAAAGGAATGCCAAATGTAAGTACAAACTCTATGCTACAGCTTATTTTAGTCTTCCCCTTTCTTCCTAGTCCCACCAATTTTATTTAAGCTCTAATTGTTCATTTAGGCTCTCGTTATCTGTCATTTATTTGAACTACTGAATTTCCCTCTACCCCACTCCATCCTATCAACTACTGCCAATATTTCAAACTGATTACCATATTCCCTTAACTCAAAATTCCCTTCCCACTATTCATTGCTCCAGAACAAGTTCAATTTCCATGGCAGGGCATCTAAAGTCCGACGTCACCTGGGGCCAACCTACCAACCCATGATTTTCACCTACTCCCTCTGCCTAGGTTCAGCCAAACTAGTCTCCTTGGCACTTTTGCCTCGTTTCAGAATTTAAGATTCTTCTACCTTCAAAAAAAATCTTAATGGTGAAATAGATCTCATAGTCTACCTAACTGGTTCAATGTCATTTTTCACAGACGTGAACACAGAGGCAGAGATCACTGGCCAAGTTCAAACAAGTACAACTGAGCCAGTCTAGAACCGAGATTTCGCGTCGGAGTTTCCACCGCCCTATCTGACCTTCACAGAGCATCAAATTTTACTCTTAAATTACTTTTCCATAAATCCTGAAGATGATTTCCCTAGGAATCTGAAAGATTACGGTCACAGTAAAAATGTAGAAACCCACACAGGGATAGCCTCTACGTCTGAAGAGATGAGCCCAGGGAAAAAAAAAAAAAAGAAAGAAAGAAAAGAAAAGAAAAAGAAAAAAAGAAAAAGAAAAGAAAAAAGAGAGATGAGACTGGTCTATACTCGAATATCAATTTACTTTTCTTCTTCTTCTTCTTCTTCTTCTTCTTCTTCTTCTTCTTCTTCTTTTCTTGTATAAACTATGGTGACCTGAAAAATTGTAATGAATCTGTTTGGTTGGTCACACATCATATTCGTATAAATGAGACAGAAAGACAGCAACAACGAACAATACTAAAACACTGATGATGATCATGAATTCCCTCCTGGTGCTCCACACGGTCTACCACCACAGCAGCAGGAAAACACCACACGTGCCCCGTAGGGCTCACTCTGCCTTGGGAAGTTCCAAAAGAGAAGCCACCACCAGAGCCCTTCTCTTCCTCTCCCTTCCCCTTTTTCTCTTCCCTTTTTCCTTCTACACCTCTTCTCTCCCCCTCAGGGTAGCAGAACGCGTGTGGACAGCAAATGAAAACTTCCACAGTTAGGTAATTCTGTTTCTGCAAAAATTAATCTGTCTGTGTTGTTGTTGTTGTTTTTTCTGTCATCCACTTAGCCGCCCTCCCCCACCCGCCCTGCTGAGTCCGCCGGGTCACGAGGCTGGGTGGGACTCCTCCCGTGACACACCCCACTCGCAGACGCCGAGCTCGGCTCCGCAAGCCAATGCTCCGGTGACCTAGACTTTACCAAGCAATGACCCTGCACCTTACGCAACTTTTTTTTTTCTCCTCATCTTGTTTCTCCTCAACGCCTAGTGGGCCCCTGGGGCCATGTCACCTACCTTTTTTTCTTCCCCTCGCTTCCCTCCCCGCGGCCTTTCCTCCCTCCTTGTGTTCCAGACCCGCTAATGCCCCTGAGAGGAAGCGTCCGTCCTCTCACCGCCTGGCTTCACACCCTCGAGAACATGCATCCCTCCCGCCCCACCCCAAGCCCAGGCTACTACTACATGGCGACGGGACCTTCCACTTCAGCGAAAGCGCGGGAATGAAGAGGCCTGGTTCGCGACCGAGCGTTGCCAGTGCGCAGACTCCGCGGGCTCCCAGCAGGCAGCGCGTGGGCCACGTGACGAGCCGCCGCACAGCTTCCAGCTTCCGGGAGCGCTGCGAGGAGCTCTCCCGCGCTTGGCCGAGGGGCGCCCCCCCCCACCCCCCAGTTGCGATCCGTGAGTCAAAAATCTCTCCTTGCCTCCAAGTGTGTATTTGGGGAAGATGGGAAGACCCTGAGGCTGGTTTCTCAGGAAAGAACGAGAATTGCCTGAGCGAGGCTAGGTGGGATGTGTCCCACCTGCTTAGAATGTCAGTAAAGGAGCACAAAATGGGTCACCGGACACTGCTTCGCAAATAAGACTTCCATCCTGTTCCAGGTGGCGTTTTCGGAAGCGAGACTTGCAACCCCGGGCCCTCCCTGCCTTCGCCTCCTCCCGCCCCCGGGCCCCTGCTGGAAGATTCCTTTCCTGCTGTCCCTAGGTCTAGTCGACTTAATTGGCAGCATTCAAAAAATACTTTCTAACATACATGGCCCACATACTTTGAAGTTCATGCTTTCCTGTGGTGACTTTGACCTGCAATTTCAAAGATAGACATTCTTAAGGTTATGCCCAGTTAGTTGATGGGAAAGAAAAAAATATATCACCTCATAAAACAAAGGTCAATAACATCATAAATTCCAGGTACACAGTCTCACACCTTAGCAAAACTACGTTTGACTCTGCACATGCTTCCCCACACACACACCCTTTGAAACATCTCAGTGTGTGTGTGTGTGTGTGTGTGTGTGTGTGTGTGTTGGCTATTTGTGAAAAAGGCCATTCGTTTTAAGTAAGCTCCCAGGAAATAGGTACTTGGTTTGTTTCACTGGATTTGCTAATATTGTGAAATATAAGTTACTTCATAAAACTAGACTAGATGATCAGGGTGCAGTTATTATGGGCAGTCTTTATAGGATCCCAACCACTGTTTGGGGACTGATCACAATCTGTGTTGACATCTTCCCCTTGTGTGATAAAATGAGGGGGGAAAGTAGAGCTTTTCATAAAGCCGCAGCATCTACCTGAAAAAATGGTCCTTTACTCTTATTCTATGTACTTCCTAGTCTTTTTGGTGTGAAAGTGGTTTTTCATGAAATAAAACCACAAAGATTTTTAAGGCTTTTAATGTCCTACTTGAAAAAATATAAAGTTGCCCACTCAGTGTTCATTCGTTCTGCGTTATCATTATTGTCATTATTCTTAATAGTCCATTAAATCCAAAAGCCTGGGAAATACTGATCTAATTCCTCTTTCAGACTTCACATTGTATGATATCTAAAGAGATCATTATCTAGTTCCTAAAATATTTCCAAGAAAAATGATTCCACCTAATACATAAATGTTTACACCAGATTAAGAGAACAGTATATAAGTTTTATTTTTTTTAAAAGATTTTATTTATTTATTCAGGAGAGACACACAGAGAGAGAGAGAGAGAGAGGGAAAAACACAGGCAGAGGGAGAAGGAGGCTCCATGCAGGGAGGCCGATGTGGGGGACTCCATCCGGGGTCTCCAGGATCACGCCCTGGGCTGCAGGCGGGGCTAAACCGTTGCGCCACCGGGGCTGCCCTAAGTTTTATTTTTAAAATGTTATCTCCATTGTATAAACTAAATGAGTAAGAATAAGTGAGAATACATGGAGAGTTATAGTTGTCTAGTGCTTTAAAATATTCAGAGGGCTATCATCATCTCATTTAACCTTTACAAACAATCCTGTGAAGTAGGCAGGACATGAAGACATCTGGGGTACTCTGTATCAAAAAAATGTTTATCCCAGAACTAAGAAATGGGTAAATTGTGCATTCCACATCTTTACAGTTGGAGAAAAATCACTGGCAATTAACACGTTTGGTGCTATGCTTTTGATCACTGTTTGACTCCACTTCATGCTTTCATACTCTATAATTGGAGGAGGAAAAATCTGTTATTTCTATTTCAATCATATGTAGATTCTTATTATATACTACTTAAATATGTGATTTTTTCTTCTTCTAGTGGTCTCTGCACCAAGCACTCTGACTATCCCACCACAGACTTCCTTTGTAATCACTCCTGGGACCTGATGTTTTTGACCTTATAAAATAAAAACTCTATTTTCTTAAAAAACAAAACAAGCCCAACTAGCTACTTATGGACACATTTCACTTCCTAATTCTAGAACCCCTCTGTTTTCTTTTTTTTTTTTTTTAAGATTTTTATTTATTTATTCATGACAGATACAGAGAGAGAGATAAAGCAATGCAGAGACACACAGGCAGAGGGAGAAGCAGGCTCCACACAGGGAGCCCAACATGGGACTTGATCCCTGATCCCGAGGATCACCCTGGGCCGAAGGCGGCGCCAAACCACCAAGCCACAGGGGCTGCCCAACCCCTCTGTTTCTATACAGTCTCTATATGCACAAAAAAAGCAAAAACAAAAAGTTGCTTTGCTAATTCCCTTGCTAGCAAGGTAATACAATTTAGCACATGTTCAAGAGAAAATTGTCCAAGGAACTTTGTATCTGCTAATTATTTCCAAGGCTGTAATATTTTACTTTAAGTTACATTTTAGGTGCTATATTACGTTATAGGGACTATTCTAATAGGGCTGATTACTCAGCACCGCAAGATAAGGAGTTTTGTGCCAAAGTGTGAATAGAAAGGCTCAAAACAGAGTTGTTGTTGTTTTAAGATTTTATTTATTTATTCATGTGAGATAGAGAGAGAGGCAGAGACACAGGCAGAGGAAGAAGCAGGCTCCATGTAGGAAGCCCAATGTGGAACTCAATCTGGGGACTCTGGGATCATGCCCTGAGCCAAAGGCAGGCGCTCAACCGCTGAGCCACCCAGGCGTCCCTCAAAACAGGGTTTAATATGAGAAAAGATGCTTCTAATTGGCCACGCAGGTGCTTTTCTAAAAGGGCTTAGGGGGCAGCTAGGTGGCTCAGTCTCTTGAGTGTCTGACTTTTGGTTTCAGCTCAAGTCAGGATTTCATTGGTCCAGAGATAGTCTCCCTCCACCACCACCTTGCACTCACCGCATCCCAATCAAGTCAGATTCCCCACACAGTGGGGCATCTGCTTGAGATTCTCTCCCTCTATCCCCTCCATGCTCACTCTTTCTAAAATAAATAAATCTAAAAAAAAAAAAAGGAATCTTTTAAAAAGGGGGGAGGAGTCTTGGAAGTACAGTGCTTCTGAAAGAGGCACAAGCTTTGTAAGGCCCAAAACTCCAACTTTTACAGAAGAAATTATTTCATTAAAATAGTGATTTTACATGAAAAGAAATACCCATATTCTCTAACAGTACTTCAAGTTCTTTTGCCCTAGGAAAGAGCCCACATTTGACGGCAGGTCCAAGGCGTGCCATAGCAGTCTCCTCCCTCCACCTTCTTCCTCCTTTCTCCCAATCGCTTGGTCTCCTCCCCCAGACACTTGGTCTCCTCCCCCAGATGGCTATTAGATAAGACGACAGCTGGCTCTGTTTTCGATGCTTTCTGCATTCCTGGCTGCTTCAGCTGCCACCTTTTCCCATCTACACAGCCTCAGGAAAAGAAAGAGACCTCAAACCTTCCAGATCCCTTCCTCTTATAGGAAACTATCGAGCACAGGTAAGAAATATCATTCCTCTTTGTTTGGAAATGAGTCATGGTTTAAAAGTAAGTAAGCTAGAAAAGTGTTTGAGAGCAATGTGAGTCCTGTGACACCACTAATTGATGGCCAGGCAGTAACAATGTAGGGAACATATAGCAAAGTCAAAGTGGAAGATTTTTCTCTTTTTTAACCAACAATGGAGTGTATCACTTTTGAGCAAATGTCCTCAACCTATTTGGTCTTGTGACCTCTTTCCATTCCTAAAAATTACTGAGGAGCCTGAAAAAGTTTTATTCTTCTAGGGTATTTACTGTATTACTGTCATTTACTGTGTTAGAAATTAAAACTGAGAAATTTAAAAAATAGTGACTTTTTAATTTATTTTAAAATAGCAATAAGCACATCATGGGTTAGCATAAATAATATTTTTAATATAGATAACTGTATATTTGTAAAAATCTACTCTAAAGAGTGACATTGTTTTTCATTTTTATGGATCTCTTTAATGTCTGGCTTAATAGAAGACAGCTGCATTTCTATCTGCTTCTGCGTTCAATCTATACAGTATCACACAGAATGTAGCCTCTGCTAAACTGTATTGTACACCCCTGAGAAAATGAGAAGAAAAAGACAAATCATATCTTGAAATTGTGATGAAAATAGCTTTGACCTCATTAGCCCTTTGAGAATCGCTGCTTTAAAATGATAAAATAAGGGTGCCTGGGTGGTTCAGTGGGTTAAGTGTCTGCCTTCAGTTCAGGTCATGATCTCAGGGTTCTGGGATCCATCCCCCCCTCCCCCCCCCCGCTCTGGGGGGGGTCCCAGCTCAGCGGGGAGTCGGCTTCTCCCTCTGCCCCTCCTGCTCCTGCTTGTGCTCTCTCTCTCTCTCTCTCTCTCTCTCTCAAATAAATAAATGAAATCTGTTTAAAAAAAAATAAAGTGATAGGGGCAGCCCAGGTGGCTCAGGGGTTTGGTGCCGCCTTCAGCCCAGGGCAAGGCTCTGGAGACCCAGGATCGGGTCCCATGTCGGGCTCCCTGCATGGAGCCAGCCTGCTTCTCCCTCTGCCTGTGTCTCTGCCTCTCTCCCTCTGTCCCTCTGTGTGTCTCTCATGAATAAATAAATAAAATCTTTAAAAAAAATAAGTGATAAAATAAGTAAGCTTCTCTCCAAAGGGAGTCTCCACTCTGAATCTATGATTCTAAAAGCAAACAAAAAATTTTGCCCAAGATTGGTTATTTGGATAGAATCTGCATCAACACCCTTAGCTGGCCTACAGTTTTACAAAATTATAGTATTCCCCAGGAGAATTTTATTTTACAAGAAGGAAAGGGCTGAATAAAAATCTCTGTTTTGAAGTGTGACTAACAAAAATTAGGATGCCCTTAAACTCTTTTCTTTTTGCCTATGTCCAGCTACTTCAATTTTGACTATGTCAGCTAAATCATCCTCCACAATATTTTTCATAACCTGGCCTGTTCATAATATCCCTACATGAATATTGTGAATTCCTACATGAATTCTTACAGTAGTGTCAGCCTGCCTCTGTCTTTTTCATAATGCATTTGCTCGCTCAGTAATCTGCATTCCTATTGCCGGCAAGATTAAATTCACATTCTTCCGGGGGCACCTGGCTAGTTCAGTCAGAAGAACATGCAACTCTTGATCTGGGGGTCTTGAGTTTGAGCCCCACACTGGGTATAGAAGTTAACTAAGAAAAATAAATAAACTTCAGATAAATAGATGATAAATTCACATTCTTCCAGTGATTTCCAAAGCCCTCTCTAACCCCACCCTGCCTTGAGTCCACTAGAGGACAGCAGGATTGTTTCACTACAGTCTAAAATATGGTTCCTTCAGTCCACCCTCCACCACAACATTGTTTTAATGATCACATAAATGTTCTTTCACCTCCTTTTCCATTCATTCAAATCTTAAGCATTCTTTAAGGTTAAATTTGATTCTCCTTTTCACACAAGGCCATTCCAACTACATCAGTTCCATTTTTGCTTTTTCCTTTGAGTCTGTATGTACCCATTGATTACATATACATCTTTTATCGTTAACTACCTAAATTTTTATCTAGGTCTTCTTCCATCCCATTTCTGCCACACCTACATGCATATATTCATAAAAGGGCAACATTTTTAAGAACGAAATGATTTATAGAACTGAATAGTTAGGTTTTGATCTTGCTGCTATCAGGATGACTACGTACCTGATTTTAGGGAACTAGGTAATATGCTTCTTCACTTCATGACATGCCTATGCCACAGAATTGTAATTCCACAGCAAGGATAAATGTGATTGCTTTTCAAATTCAAGACACTTTTACTTTAATAGTATGTTTTTAAATTCCAATGGGTTAACAGTGCTGGCTATATAATAAATATTCAATCATTACATATTGTTTTAGATATGAGGAAGTGGTTACGAGCATATATGCCACGTACAAATGTTTCTCTCCTTGCAGCCTTACCTAGAATCTAGAATTACAGACCGCTGGGTTGGATAAGATCTGAAAAATTAACGATTCAACTTCCTCTTTGTTCAAATGAGGAAACTGAGACTCTCCAAATTAAGTCCCTCGCCCCAGGCAAGACTGCAAAGCCCACCACCTAATTTCCATCATGAGTTCTACCATTCCCTAGCCTTTGGCTGGTTTCCAAGGCTTGTATAACTAAAACTGGCTTTGTTTCAAAGAACCAATTTCCAGTGCATATTCCCCAGAGGATCGTTCCAAGGTGGTTTGTACCTTTAAAAAAAGAAAAAGTCAATAATCTGAGAATTGTAGATGAGATATTCAAAGTATCTTTATCCAATGGGAACTATAATTTTCATAGACTAGAATTAAGAAAGCAAAGGAACACGGATAAGAAAGCAAAAGAGGAAAATTGAGGAGAGGAGTGAAAGGGGGCACAACATTTGTAATCTTAGCTGTATTGAGATCTAACAGAGTGGCAAGGAAATAAAGAATTAAAAATAAACACATGAAATAAAAAAATCAATAGAGAAAAAAACAAAGAGGGAGAATATTGAAGAAGTTACTCTATTTTATAAAATATATTTCAGGGGCACCTGTGTGGTTCAGTCAGCTAAGCATCTCACTCTTCCTTTTGGCTCAGATCAGGATCTCAGGGTTGTGAGATAGAGCTCTGCATAGGGCTTCCACTTAGCAGCATGGGGTCTGCCCGGGATCTTCTCCCTCTCCCTTTCCCTCTCCTCCCTACCCCTCTCCTCAAGCATGCATGCCCTCTCTCTCTGTCTCAAATAAGTAAAATCACTTTAAAAGTAAAATAAAATATGTTTCAGATTTTCTTCATTTTCCTTCTCTTTCTCATCGGCTTTCAGATAGAGTGAAGGTTTTAAGACAAAAAAAATTCTACCAACCCCTCTACACTGTTGTCATGGCAGCACAATTTATCCTAGCAAACATTTATTCATTTAACATTTATTGAACTCCTGCTGTATACAAGCTTTCCAGGTGTTGAGGATACAAGAAAAAAAGGACAATTCATTTTAAAGAAACTCAGGGGAACCCTGGGTGGCGCAGCGGTTTAGCGCCTGCCTTTGGCCCAGGGCACGATCCTGGAGACCCGGGATCGAATCCCACGTCGGGCTCCCGGTGCATGGAGCCTGCTTCTCCCTCTGCCTGTGTCTCTGCCTCTCTCTCTCTCTGTGACTATCATGAATAAATAAAAATTAAAAAAAAAAAAAAAAGAAACTCAGATGGAAGCTGGGCAGACCTATTTGTAATCAAAATAATCTTGTAGTAAGAGCTATTTGAGAAGCATAAACCGGCATTGATGGAGGGGGTCACTGAGGAAAGAATGACTAGGTAGGAATGGAGGAGTCCAGGAGGCTTCCCTAGAGAAAATGTTTGAGCTGGGCCTTAAAGGATGAAGAATGAAAGGTTTGGCAGGCAACAAAAGCAGGGAAGTTGTGGCCTGGTAGGGGAAGTGACACTGGCAACAGTATGTAGCCTGAGGGAGTCTGGAAGCAGGAAAACCAAGTCAAAGAGTATTAAAATAGAAGATGTCGGAAGTGATGAGGGCTGGATTTAAAACAGTGCTGGTGGACAGTCCAAATGGCTTAAAATTAACAAGTCAGGAAATGACAAATGTTGAAGATGCAGAGAAAGGGGAACCCTCTTACGCCGCTGGTGGGAATGCAAGCTGGTACAGACACTCTGGAAAACAGTATGGAGGTTCCTCAAAAAGTTAAAAATAGAGCTACCCTATGATCCAGTAACTGCACTACTAAGTATTCACCCAAAGGATATAAACATAGTGATCTAATGGGGCAACTTCACCCCAATGTTTATGGCAGCAATGTCCACAATAGCCAAACTATGGAAAGAGTCCAGGTGAATTCATCAACAGAAGAATGGATAAAGATGTGTATATATGCAATGGAATATTACTCAGCCATCAAAAAATGAAATCTTACCATTTGCAATGACATGGATAGAACTAGAGGGTATATGCTAAGTGAAATAAGTCAGTCAGAAAGACAATTTTCATATGATTTCACTCATGTGGAATTTAAGAAACAAAACAGGGCAGCCAGGGTGGCTCAGTGGTTTAGCACCGCTTTCAGCCCAGGGTGTGATCCTGGAGACCCGGGATCAAGTCCCACGTCGGGCTTCCTGCATGGAACCTGCTTCTCCCTCTGCCTGTGTCTCTGCCTCTCTCTATGTCTCTCATGAATAAATAAATAAAATCTTAAAAAAAAAGAAAACAGAATCAAAGGGGAAGGGAGGGGAAAAATAAAATAAGACAAAATCAGAAAGAGAAACAAACCATAAGAGACTCTTAACACTAGAAACAAACTGAAGGTTGCTGGAAGGGGGGGTGGTAACTGGGTGATGGAATGAGCACTGGGTGTTGTATGCAACTGATGAATCACTAAATTCTACCTCTGAAACTAATAATATACTATATATTAATTAATTCAATTTAAATTAAAAAACTGGATTAATCAGTATAAAAAGTAAATAAATAAATAAAACAGTGGTGA